AAAACCATTATACCCTGATTTCCCATTTTCAATGGGTTCAGGGTATAACAACAGCTACACAAGATTTGTGGTCGTATATTTTAGCATTTCTTAACGAGATTTTCGAGCGAACTCAAAACAAAAGCGGACATGCCGAAAGTAGAAAGAAAGGCAAGAAAAATGAAAAAGAAAATGCCAAAGGAATTCGCACCTTTGCATACACAAATAGGAGGCTGCGGCCCTACAGCTGGGAAGCAGGGCGTGTGGTTATAAATTTTAAATCTGTTAAATTAATGGCTTAGAGTTCTTTCATTCTTACGTGCCTCGAAGTTGACTAAAAACTTCGAAGAAACCGAGCCACGTCGCTTGATTACATTAATTATTCCTTTATTGTTTGTAGAACTTGACTTTTTTTTCATTTGCATGTCTTCTGTAGTTTATGCTTTTGTAATGAACGTGAGCTACCTCTAATTGTAATTATAAGCCTTATAACTAATTTCATATATTTGTATTCATTCCAGGAAGAAGCCATATAATAAAAATAAGCATTTCAACAATAATAATGTAAGTATTTTTATAAAGCTTAATAGGCAGAGCCAACTCTATATATACGCATGGAATTTTCTCTTTGCACAGTGGAACCCATACATCCCAAACCAAAGCCAATTTTATCCGCAAAATAGTTTACGTGGTTCAGGTCGTAATTATAGGCAGAATAATCAATTTTGGCATCTATCGGCAAATTATATAGGAGACAACATCAACAATTGGAGTCAACCATCTGAAAGACGAAATTATCGAAGGGGTTCATCGTACCGTGGAAATTCCGGTTTTTATAGAAAACCAAGTACGAATAGATCTAAGACATTTGCTGTAGACAGCACAGGTAGACAGTGGGAGCCCACAAATAACTCGTATAGCAATTTGATTTCATGTCAAAGTCAAGAGTCATCCCAGGAACCACTGTCCGAAGCCAGTGAAGACGAAGAACTTTGCTCCAAGAGTGAAGAGAATCAATTGAATGCACCAAGTGGCGAGAACACAAGTGAATGTGATAATATAATTACTGATTCTACTACAGAAAAGCTACTTGAGAGTGCAAAAGAAGAGAGTGTGAGCGAATTCCGAGAACAATCTCAAATTTACAGCCGTATATCAAATTCTGTTGAACAGCTAGACCAAATCAAACCCCTAAATAAAACCAGAGTGCGATTCGAAAGAAAGAATGGGCAAAATAATATTACAATACAATTAAAATCTACAGAAACTGTAAGTGAAGAATCCAAATACAAGAGCGAACAGACTGAAGAAAACGAAAAAGACTTAAAAGATAGCAAGAAGGAGGTTTACCCGTGTCCCAAAAAAATTAACATCACAACTGGCAGCCAATTCAAAGTAAGGCCGGTTAGGAACAATATATTCAGTCCCGCGAGGCGTCCGAATGCTGCCAGGAATAACACGAATTTAGTGAAAGCAGTTGAGAGCAAATTCAGTTTAACAGAGCCTAAGAAGAGCTTAGGAGGAGCTGCAACGCCGTCTAAGCCCACAGAGTGTAAGCAGCCAGGGCAAGGCGAGCCAAGGAGCACTGCTAATAATACATATCCCAAGATTCAAGTGCGACCGCTGGCTGAGCTGCTGAAGCAGGAAATAATTGCGGTCACTCAGGAGCAGCGACTGGAAACCGGCACAGCAGGTGCTCTCAGCGCTAGCCCCGTCAAACCTGGCCAGCGGCCAACGGTCCAAAGTCGTCGTCGAACTGTCAGCCACAACAATCACAATGGCGGCGGTGACTATAGTCTCAACGAGCGTCTGGCCCATATGGACAAGGAGAGTCTGAAGAATATAATCAACAACAGTGATACGATATATAACGAGCATCTGAAGTTGCAAGCGCGACGACGTCTGCGCGAGGAGATACGACGCCAGCTAAAGGAAATTGAATTGGAACAACCAAAGGATACGCTAACCAAGGATTTGATCGAGGACGAAATCGTCGAGTCCATCAAGCTGCCGCCATTTTTGCTGCAAGAGATTGAAAAGTGTTTCGGAATAGACATATCAGTGGGCGCGACGACAGAGACTAACGCATCCAAGGGCAACAGGGATCCAACTCAGGAGCAGAGCACAGAGCAAACCGAGAGCCAGGCCATGAGAAGCGCCACGGACTTAATGGAGCGCCTGAAGGTGGCCGAGCAATTCAGGATGATGGCAGCCAAAAAATGTAGGAATAAACAGCCAAGTGAAAAGCCCAAATGTCCCAGCTTGCAGAGCAAGTCCGCTAAAACTTCCGATAGTATACCAAAGCCTAATCCGCAAAGAAAAGAGTCTGAGAGCAGTGCTCCTGCACCAGGGCAACAGCAGCAGCAATCGCAGAAGGAGTCGATACCGGTGGAGACAGTGAATCCGTTGTCCATTAAACAGGAAATTCAAACACCGTCGAAGAATACGCAGAAGAGCAGCGGCATTATTGTTGTGGTCAGCTCCGAGGATGAGGATAACGAGGAAGGGGAGCATATTACTGTTAAGAAGAAGAAAAAGCAAATTGTTGCCAACGAAAGTGACAATGACAGCGATCACTCGAACTCATCCAGCTGGAGCACAGACTCCACCAAGCGTCGCTATCGACAAAAACTGGAGAGCGATGCCAACAACATTGTCGACAGCTTCGAGAAACTGATATTGCCGCAGCTGAAGGAGTCGGTAGCGGAGCGCTATCGCAGCAGCCACTGTGACAAACTGCGAAATCGGCTGCACTTCATCTCCTGCGTGGTGACCAGCAGTGAGCACAACTCCCAGAGCTTCAGCAAAGCGGAAGTGGCCAAGATACAACAGAATCTCAAATCGAACGACTATCGCCAGGCCATTGAGTTCCTGTTGCGTGAAATCGTGAATGTTGTCAACCTGCAGAAGCAAACCGCAATGGCGCGGCGCAAGCAGAACTTGGAGAAGGCGCTGCCTAATGAGCTTATCGCCACAACAGCCGCTGCGAAAAATGCTGAGCCCGCGTCTGAGTCACATCAAAGGGAAGCCGCTGGGCCGGCAGTCGCGGCAGCCGCGGCAACCGCTCAAGCTGTGATGCCGCCCACACCGCCGCGAAATGGCACGCCCACACCAACAACCGTTGCAAGTGCGGTGCGTCCGCTGCACACATTGCCCACGGGTCTGCCCTACATGGGCCTGGACTCGACTGTGGCGCATCTATCGCCCGGCAGCTTCTCGCCCAACGACTCGATCATGCTGATGGGCGATTCCGTGACGCACGGCCTACTTGAGATCGATCGCCGGCTGCTGGAGAATCAAAATCGTCGTGGGTTTCTCGAGGAGATGATTATGAAGTTTCAGCGCGAGAAATCCGACTTGGAGATGCTCAGTCTGGAGCTGCAGAATCGCAAGTTTCTGCTGCTCAACACGGTGATTTCAAGGAATCAAACGGCGACAATGCCTCCGCTAACCACCGTAACTCCCACGATCTCGCCACTGCTTCCATTGCCAACTACCAATCCAGCACCAGCAACAGATGTCGCAGCACCCGCAGTGGCTCCTGCTAAATCTGAAGCCAGCCCTCGTAAGCGAAAGTGTCGCGCCGTCGTCGTGAAACGTGTCAAGATCTTACCCAAACGTAGGCGTCTAGTCAAAAGATCAACAGAGCCCACGCCGAGCCACGCAGCTGATAAAAAGGTTGCCCCCAAAGAGACGGAGACAGAGCCTGAGCCCAATATTCCGCAGCCCATGGCACTGCAGTTGAATATCAAGCAGGAGCCGATCGAGGCGCCAAAGACGCCACCGCCGTCAACTCAATCAAACCCGACTGTAATTGGCAACAGTCCCCAGTATCAGCATTTGACCGCATCTGTTTCGGCCAGCTTGGCACAGCAAACGATGGCAGTGGTACCACCGCTGCCACCACCACCGCCGCCGCCGTTGCCGTTCGCCAACATGTCACAATATGATCTGCCGCGGGCGCTGCTAAAGCCGACTGCGCCCGTACCGACACCGTGCAGCGCAGAGTCTCAAATGGCAGCGAATTTGGAGAGCTATAATTATGACTATATACCAACCGGAAGATTGCATAATATCAGCTGTCCCATCACCCAGATTCGCGTCTATAAGGCGTACATCATAGCGGCCTCGGAAAATGGCGATATCTTCCTGTTCAACATTGGCACTCACAAGCTGGAGTTTCAGATAACCAAGCACAGCGAAGCGATTACGAATATGTATCTGTGCGAGAAGGAATCCTTCTTATACACCACGTCCTTGGATGGTTTCTTCAAGAAATCCTCACTAGAGGTGAGTAACTGAAAGAGACAGGTCTGAAAAAAGTCTAAATTCTAACCCGTCTATCATTCAACAGAATCTGGAACGCGTAATGCAGACAGTATACCTAAAAGAACCCCTACAATCTATCGACATCGAATGGGGCGTTGCGTTTATCGGCAGTCGTTGGGGCAATATTTTTACCTATAATATAGCGGTAAGTTTTCAAGACTATTTATGTTTTTATTTAGTTGTGAATAACTTTATTTTATTGTGCAAAATAGTAATATGATCTATAGTGGTCAAATATCATATATTCATAGGGACTCTTCTCTAAAGTAACATATATGTATATATTTATTTAGTGAAGATATTAAAGTTGGGTATTATGGATACAGATTGTCTTTTATGTTTAGTCGATAAAAATAATGATTACCAAAACTATATATTGGTTTTTGTGCAAGTAAACTCAATGGAATATTTTTTTTTTTTTTTTTTTTTTTTTTTTTTTTTAAATGTTCCAGATGGTGTTCTAAAACTATGCTGCATACCCCAAGGCGTAATCAATTGCCATACAGTTAGATCTGTTTCTATAGCATAATTGAGGGAGATAATATATTAGTTTAAAATATATTCACTTAGCATACAACTTACCTAACCCCAAAGCGTTAGTTTTCATATAAACTGCTATGGCCCATTGAATATTTTCACTTCTAGAAATGTCTACCGGGAGTCGCATTCAATTAATTTGCAGCTCATTAAATATTTAGCTTGTCCAATCAACACTTGAAAATATTCAATTAAAAAGTGAAGAACGTGGACACGTAAGAGAGTCCAGGTGGGCCACATCAGCCATCACGCACTCTCCTCTGCATATATAGTGGTGTGGATGCCTCAATATGGCCCCAACGGCGGACGCAAGAGTAGCAAGGAAAACAACGAATTGGCATTAAGCAGCCATCGAATGAACCCAATGTCTAGACAATGAAAATCAAATCGAATTTATTTTTTCTTTCGCATTCCGCCAGCGATATACGCAAATTGGATGTGGTGCGATGGTGCGATGGAGCGATGGCACGGATGATGGTGCAAAGCTGGCACTTCATTACAACTCCGCGTTGGGGGCAAATGGCGATAAGTCTTAATTTTTTGGCAGCATTCGATTTATGGCTGGGACGTGCGGGTAATACGCGGGCAGTTGCCTAAAATTATGATTCGGAACTTTTTAGTCGACATGAACTGCAACAACTGCTGGGGCAACTGTACTTTGGAGGCAACTGTACTTGTGCAGTGCACGCCTTTAGTTATTTACTAAATATTTAGCTTTACCTAGGCAATAGACACGCCCCAGTGCAGTTATATTGGGCCATAGACCCAACCCAGTTGCTATGTATGCAAGAAGGCGTTGCTTGTTGCAATTTTCCTTTGCTGCTATTGCTTGATATTTTGCTGTGTCGGTGTTGTGTGTTTTTATTTTGCATGCATGTGTGTGTGAGTGTTTGGTTTTGCTGCACGTTGTTTGGCCAAAAACCTAATACATAGTGCTATATATGTATGTGTATATAGCAAAGGCTGGGGGTTAGTTGCAACAAACAACAGCAAACTGCAGCGCATGCTGCGAGAATGGGCGCTGCGTTCAAAATTATCCCTCTCTCAATGGCGTCCGCTTACGCTTTCTCGCTCGCACCCCCTCGTTCCCTATTGTTGTTTATTTAAGTTTTTATGTGTTCATGTTTAGTTTACTGTATATTTTGCTGACTCACACTTTCGCACACACTGCACCGTTCATTGCCCGCTCGTGCGCTCTCTCACACTCTCACCTTTCGCTCGGTGCCGCCGGCACGAAGCTGTTAAGCCTTCGTTAGTCTTCTCTCACACTGTAATGCGCATGTCTCTGTCTGCTGCAGTTTCTTGTTGCTGCACAAAGCGTTAGCTCGGCTAGTTTTGTATTTCTTGCACTTACTCATTCGTTATATCCAGCGTCGCAGCGAAGCGGCGCAACGTCGGCATTGGCAATGGCATCGCCAATTTGGCAGCAGCAAATAAAATGTTTATATGCTATTTACTGAAAACAATTTTAAATAAAATACAAACTATGTACTCACAATCAGCTCTCGCTCTCACACTCACACTCACACCCACACTCTCTTACTTGCCGGCACTCTCTCGATTTGCCTGCTCTCGCTTTCTCTGTCGTTCGCTTATTGCAGGCAAGCCTTCCAAGGCGCTGCAGTTGGAATGTCTTCGGTACTTGTGCTGTATGTGTTGCTGTTGGTGTTGGTGTTATTTTGTTGTTGTGGGTGGGTGGTTGGCTTGCTGGTTGGCTCCTGTTTTGTTGTGTTGTGTCTCTGGAAAATGACGCCGCCTGTCGGCATGACTATGTGTGTGTGTGGCAGAGCCGTTTTCTCATTGGTTGAGTCTGACGAATCGGGTTGGTTGTTTGCCAGCTCCGGCCCAGGCCCCGACGCTGTATGGAAGTAACTGTTATTCGTTTGTGTTGTTATTGTTGTTTTTATAGAAACAGCATCCGACGCAGCAGCAAATTGCATACGTCCATGCGGCCAATGTGGGTGTGGCGGGCACACTTGCAACCACTAAATAAACAAAGCAACCCAACGACTGTTACTTCGTCGATTTTGGGTGCGCCTCCTGCAATTTAAAAAGCATTTTTGTATTTGTTTGTCTGCTTTGCCATTTCTTGCACTTTTTAGTTGAGTTGCAAACGTGAGACGCCATCTTGCAAATTACTAACTGTACATAGAGAGGCGCAAATGTACATATACATATGTACATTTACATATGTATAGCTAGAACTGCAGTGCGTCTTTCCTTTTCGCACTCTTTTTAAATGTTGTTGATTTTATTTTCCCTCCAGATATATGTATGCATGTTTGATTAGAGTTTATGCAATGTGAAGTGTGCAGGAGACAGGGACTAGCCTCATTTATCATAGTTGCAGCTCGAGGAACCTCCCCTTGTTTGCTTTCAATTTTAATTTCTAGCTTTTTCTGTAGATGTGGCTAGTTTATCTTTGGTTACTACGCATATTAATAATGTTTGTTGAATTTTCTCGCACATTCTAGAGACATGGAAACTCAATTATGCAACCTCTTTTAAAACTCTGTTTATATTGGTTTAAGGAATAAATTATTTATCATTCTGCTTTTTTTTATTTCTTATAGTTCTGACCATTTCAAATAGTAGAATGAATGAACAAAGATGTGATAACGTAAATTAAGATTCTATTCGAGCAATCTTGTAATGTTCCATGTGCTAACACACATTTTGTATTTGCTGACTGTATAACGATATTGTTTTAATATTTCAACTCTTATCAGTATAGATGTTGCGTTAAGTCTTTGTTCTCAATATTGATAACTTTCACAATGCAATACAACTGTTTCTTATCGTTATCAAGTTGTATTGCGCACCACTCATATTAACGAAAAAAAAAAAAATAATAATAATAAATAAATAAAAAAAAATAAGAAAAATTATCAGAATAAAATAAATAATATTACATGAAAAAATTTATGGTCTTCAGACTAATCTCAAATGCACAGTCAGCTCAGAAAATATGGCTAAGCACCTCGCGAAATGTCTTTCTTGATTGCGGAATCACTCTGTATAAAAATTTAGGGAAACCCAGAAACAACCCCCTAGGCACCTCAAAGATTTTAAATTAATATTACAATAGGCAATCTCTAAATAGAAGACAATCTTCATTATATGGATGTTCGCAAGAGCAGCATGAATAAGTTGGTCATAGTATAATAAATAAATGTATTTAAAATTGAATGTATAATTATCAGAATTCTCTTTAGCGTAATAATTCACGCTAAAGTTAATTAATAACGTAAACTATTCAGAATTGCATTCAGATTTATTTTGTAGTCCCTAGAGTCTAAAAGTTCTAATAATAAATAATAAATTAATGGCAAATATTGACAAAAATTAAAACGCAAATAGATTTTAATGAAACAGCTATCTTATCGTGTGTTTGTTTTAATTAAAGCAGCTCACCTATCGCACGACATAATAGTATTATATATAAATAGCTTACAGCTACAAGTCTATTTATAAATGTTTATAAAAAGTGTGTGGCGTACGCACTTAAAAGAGAAATGAAAACGAACTGTTTGTTGTTGTAATCCGATTGCGTTGCACATTTCGAATGACAAACAGAAATTACTATGCAAAGCACAATTGGTCAGCAAATTGAGTTTGGCGGTGTATGAAATGGAAACGCAATTGTGAACGCTTTTGTGGGCCAATAAATGCCCAGGAGATACAACGGGGATGTAGCTCAGATGGTAGAGCGCTCGCTTAGCATGTGAGAGGTACGGGGATCGATACCCCGCATCTCCAGGACATTCTTGTTTTTTATACATTTTTCTTTTAATTACGAAGCAATTCTGAGTGTTTTCCCATTTTGTTCCCAATTGCAGGCTAATAAAGTGATGGACCTGCCGCTGCTATCAACTGGCCAGTCCGTCATCGCCATTAAGGCCACCAAAGAGGGTCCTCGCAATATAATTATATTGGGCTGCAAGGGAAATGTGGTGCTGTTGCACGATGCGGCAACTGGTTTGCTGTTGCGTCGTCTTAGCATGCCCGACGGCCTCAATGTTTACAGTCTGATGCTGCTTGATGGCCATCTGTTTTGCGGCACCCAGAAGAATGAGGTGTTCAAGTTCGACTTTGCCGTGAGTAATATCTGAAGGTTGAGCTTCGATTTGTGGATTCATCTATTACCTTTCTGTTTTCTAGACTGGTTTGGTGACCAACACATTTCCTTGCGGCAATGGTGCCGTTACAATGGCGTTGTATAAAGAGAACTATCTGCTTATTGGCTGCTACGATGGCTACGTCTATGTGCTGAACAAGGAAACTGGCTTGCAACTGGGTCGATTCGCTGGACCTGGACGTTTGGTGCTTGCTCTGGCCCTAGCTGGCGACAAGGTAAGCTTACTGTGAATTTATAATGAAAATGCCGCAATTATCTTTATCTTTTTCTTTACTTGCATCCAGGCCATCACCTCGTCAAAGGACAACGCCTTGGAGATACTTCAAATACCGCCAGAATTGTTTGCCTATGATCAATCGACTTTAGAATAAGGGATTAGCAATTTGAATATAATTTGTATATTTGAAAAGTTATTGTTCTTACAATACTTTTTTTAATAATTTGTCAAGTTATTTTATATCTTCTGTATTTACAGTTGAAATTGTTTTAAGTTAAAGCTCTGTAGTATTGTGTTAGCGAGCATTTTGATTATGAAGAATATTTCTTCCCGCTTATATAAAATATTGAAATCAATGTCATAATAATGAAGAAAATATATATGTATATATATATGTACTGACTAAACATGTGTTTGATGTTCGATGCGGATAATAAGGAATACGTATGCGTCATGCGGGATCTTAAGGAATTTGTGGCACTCGCACTGGACGCACATTCGTTTGCATTTGGTGTAGTTTCTGGTTGAGCTTGTGTGTATGATCCCGCAAATAGGCAATGAGGTCGGCTTGCTTCTCGAGTAGCTCTGCTGTATCACCACCGGGCTGCATGAGGCCCAACGAGCCGCTGGCACGATCAGCTCCACGTAAAACATCTGGCGACAGGTTGGCCTTGTTGAATTTACGCACCTTAGCTGCAGAGCAATTGAAAAACATGAATATAACAAATAGACAGACACAGTCGTAAGACTCACGAACCTATATAGCAGCCATGGGTGACAGCAAGCACCATGTTTTCCGCCACATTGAAAGTAGTTACATAGCTTATGGGCGAAAGCCAGCCGGCTGCGCAATGCGTATAAAACTCATTGCCGTAATAGTGATGGATCAGCGCCTGTACAGCCAACAGCATGGAGTTCCAGAGTGACACGATTTGCAGTGGAATACCTTTTTGCATGTTTGTCTCTCGATGGAAGTCATGATAGCCATTCAGGCGCAAGTTGTCATGCTGTTTCTTAACAATGTGATCAAAAATCTGTAACCAATGAGAGAATCGGTCATAAAACATTCGTTATTAAGGACTCAGTACTTACAAACGTGAACACCCAGAATGTGGCGCGTAGGTAAAGCATTATAAAGTAGGCCTCGCAACGGCGATCCTCGGGAAAGAGCACCGCGAGACCAATGCCCACACCCGAAATTATTGTCGAGATAAGCAAATGTATGCTAGCGGAATTAAAAATCCATAGAATGTACAAATGTCATTAGCATATGTTAATTGAGTTGCGCTGCTGATATCAGCAGACTCATCACCCCTTTTGAGAGTGATTCATAGCTATGCCGGTCTCGCACTTAGTACATACCTGAATGCGGGCACAGTTTTCAACTTAAATGAACCATTGTTGTCCGAGAACAGTACAGGATCGAGCAATTCCTCTGTGTCCTGGTTATGGCCATGCTGCCCACTGGGCTGTATAGCTGCGCCTGTTGCTTCATTATCCATTTTTTGCTTGCCTTCTGTGTTTTATTGATATCAACTGCGCAGCACCTAACGCAAATTTGCTTTGTTTGTTGTTTGTTGACGGTGCATCGGAGAATGACACTTACATGGCGTTGCCAGACAACATCCAGGGACTTTATTTGATATTCAGCAACTATCGATATTTATATTTCTAATTGGATGTTTAAATCATGCCAACTGATATGAAGCAAATTACATTCACATAATTTGATAACAAATTTATATAAATTTAAAAAATTACATTTTCAAAAATCTTTTAATATAATATTTCAATTTGTAACAAATTTAAAAGTTTTAAACATTATTTAAATCGGTTTCACAAAGATTTATCGAAGGGACAATTTAATGCCTTCGGTATATCGATATATTCAAAGACAACTCTGATAAGTATAAAACAATGCGAGGGATTTGTTGTTGCACAAATTCAAATTGAATTGTATTTTTTTTTTCTAAGTTGGTTTAATACAACTACGGGCTACAAATGACTACACCTGCCCCACGCCATGTTAGAGATTTGTTAGCATTTGGTACGGACTCAGAAGATGAATCTGATGCGAGTCAAGTGAATAAGAGAAAAGTGGAAGCATTGTAAGTTGTTTACAGAAACAGATCAATTGACTCGCTCAATTCCATCAATTAATTGTAGCGATAATGGCAATAAAGAGAATGAAGACCAGCCCAAAGCGGTACGCCATCAACTGGTCAAGGAAAACAGGCCTGCGGCACCTGCAGCTAAGGTCTTGTTGTAAGTACGCTTCCCTATTTAAGGGTGAAGGCAATGTCTGTATTTCAGACCATTTTCGCTTACAGTCCCAGACGCCGTGCAGAGTTGACAATGATGGACTCGGACAGTGATGATGAGGACAATAAGAATGATCATAATTTAAACTGCGCCATTCTCAACGACTCATTTGTGCTAAGTCCGATGCACGAGCTGACCAGTAGCAACACGGGCATTCCTTCGAAAACTCCGGGTGCTCTGCGGGCGAGTGAATCGAATTTGTCGTTTCTTGGTCGGTTCGGGAACATGGGCATCAATTGCAGCACCAGCGCTAACACTGGCAAATTGTCACCTGCACAAGTGGAACAGGAACCACAGGCAATGGAGATGCCACTCAAGAAACCAGCGCCTTCGACGCTGCAAACAATTACGGAGCAACGCAAGGCTGTGTCTACCAAAACGCCGATGCGCACTTCCCTAGCGCCGTCTATGAAAAAACAACCTAAACCTGAAACAGAATTTGTAACGCCGCAGGTTTGCAGCCTTGTCTCAAGGCAAAACACGCGCACACAAACCACCCAAAAGACTCGCACTGAGCTGGCCAATGAGTTTCGCTCACAGAAGGTGCTCTTCCAGACGCCCATGACGGTGAGCCGGGCTGCGCCCTTTACAAGCGACAGCCTTAGCTTCTCCCTGTGCGACACCATTAGCGAGAGTCCCGATACGCCCGCTCAACCACCGCCAAAGGTTGAAGCACCCATCACCGGCAAGTCGAAAAAGTCACTGGAGTCTGAGTTTCGTCACGCTGAGCAGGAGAAGCCTGAAGTGCCCTTGTCAGTGCCGGCTGCACCCGCTGCTACGCTGCCTGACAAGCCGGAACCAACATCCAAATCAAATGTGCTCCAAATCAAAAACCATGTGTACCACATAATAAGGAAGCTCGGCTGTGGCGGATCAAGTTCCGTTTATTTAGCACGACGCAAGGATACGGGCCAGGAATTCGCGTTAAAAGTGGTAGATCTACAGGCCGATCCGGTTGTGGTGCAGGGCTATCTCAATGAAACCAAACTGCTCGAAAAGCTTCAGGGCAATGTATGCGTTGTGTCGCTCTATGACTAGTAAGTAATTACAAGTTAGTATTTATAAAAATCAAATCATTTATAATTCCATTCCAATCAGTCAACTGCTGCGGCAAGAGTCCAAACTGTATATGGTAATGGAGAAGGGCGACTGTGATTTGAACAAGATCTTACAGGGATTCACAACCAACCTACCGCTTTATAATCTAATGAACATACTCTACCAAATGCTGCAGGCAGTCAACTATATACACCAGAATGGAGTGATTCACTCCGATTTGAAACCTGCCAACTTCCTCATGGTCAACGGCCGACTGAAGCTAATTGACTTCGGCATTGCTAGCAACATTGCCGTGGACTCGACGAGCATAATCAAGTTTTCACAGGCTGGCACATTCAACTACATCAGTCCGGAAGCCCTCACGGACATCTCCAGCGGTTCGAGTCCAATGCGTGGCAGCAATCAGCCCAAGATCAAGATTTCCACGAAATCGGATGTTTGGTCGCTCGGCTGCATTTTGTATCTGCTGCTGTACCAGAAGACGCCGTTCGGTCACATTAGGAACATCAATGCAAAAATGAGCGCGATCGCCAGTCCCGGCACAAGCATCGAGTATCCGGCTTTACCTATTTACTATCCGCTCATGCTGGTGCATGTGAGTATTTATAGCTTGTATAAAGTAAATTTAAAAGTCGAACTAAAACCATTATCGATTCCATGCAGATGGTCAAAAACTGTCTACAGCTGAATCCGAAGAAGCGGCCCTCGTGCGTGGACCTGCTTAAGTATCCATTCCATATGGTAATACCCCTACAGAATCTACAATTGGAATCCAAGCGCTGAATTATACAAATTTATTAGAATATGTCTCCATTTAGTAATAAGTTCCAGTAATAATTCCATTGTTTTCTCTACACATTTTAAATGAATGAAACACAGAAATATAATGCACTGAATTTTCATATGTGTGTGTGTGTATTTAATTCTCATTTAGCATAAATTATACATCATTAGTTGTTATAATGCAGCGCCCACATCGCCCACATTTAAGGAGACGCCAGCGTTCAGTGTTAATCCATAACAATGCTGAATTTGCGACCTGTTTTATCTGTTAATGCTTTTGCCTTAACTTGTTTGCTTTTCAATTTGTTTTTGTTTGCTTTGTTCCTAATTTAACTTTATCGTAATGCAACAAGTATTGACATTAATTGCTAATTTGCTTTCCTTTGCCTCTCGTAACCTTCGCACAACAATTTGTTTGAGTTTGTGTTCATTTATAATTTGCCTTTACTTAAATACTAAGTTTATGTTTTTGTTTTTAATCATTTATTATATGTATATAAAAATAGTTGTTTTTTTTTACTTTTTTAATTATTATAATTATTATTTTTTTTTATATTTTTATTTATCATATGCTTAATTAAATGTTGCTGTTGTGGGCCTAACCATTTGCTCTACTAACATATTTACTGCTGCGGCTACATCGAATACTTTGCGCTGTTTACAAAATCAAACGAACAGAAGATACAAAATAAATCAGTTACACATACAATTTTTCTAACGGAACACAGTACACTCTAAAAGGAATTTCTTGTTGGACATTCACAGTTGCTAAATGTGTTTTTCAGCTGTTTATCTTGGTATGATTTTAGTGAGTCGTTGTGATTCATTAAAGTGGACTTTCCATTCAGTTGCTTAACTTAATGAAACAAACAAATCTTTAAATGTTAGCGCGCACTTTTTAGCGGTTCATAAATGCAGGTAAACACAAATAATATAGCATAATATAATATAGTAATATATATGTATATATATATATATATATATATATATATATATATATATATATATATATATATA